GATATATAGATATAGATGTCGTCCTAACCATTGATCACTTCCCCCTTTTTGCATCTGCTAACACAGGATCGCTCGCGGAGAAGAGTCTGTGATTCCCGATGCATCCGAAATCGAATCGGCAACGAACCGAATGGCTCTGTTGGCCCCTGTGCTTCATGATACGACAGGCACAACTACCAAATCACCCACTACATCACGTACTCGCTCACGGGCGCCATCGCACTCGAGCACACACTCGCAGAGAGAGCACGTTGTAATAGTTAATATAGCTGACACGGAGTTAGACCACGATAGTCCTGAGGATCAACACTCAGATAGCTCGTATGGAGAGGGGGATGCTTTGACCACGGGTACGCAAATCGGCGCAAGCCTCGGGTTCACTGCGAATAATGATGATGTGCTATCTGTGGCCAGTCTTGCTGTCTATTAATATGAAACAAAATTTATAGCCCATATTAACTCGACTAACACCATCCATTCGCGATGGGACTGTGCGTTTCAAACGTTTAGAATGTTTCACAGTAGTTTGTTTTAACCCAACAAAGTCGATGCCAGACCCAATTTGATCAGTCAGGGAGCACTTGCTCGTGCTATATTTGTTGAACACCCGAATTCATTGTGTTTTCGAGGTATGAAAACAGCTCTGTTTTGAGAAATAATGGGTCCGATCTGAGGATAAAAGATTCTAATACTACAGGGTAAGTATTATACCCAAATTACTGGGTCGAGTTCCAATAGAACAATACATAAGATCTTGTTGTCACAGTATATAAGATGATGTAGTGACAGCAATGTTAGGCACACTAGAACAACGACCATTTTGCTAGAACGACATATTTAGAGAATATTTAGAGATCAATTTAAGGACAGTGAGCCAGAACGGAGACATTTAGAACCACCACGAACTACCCACCGTACCACCTCCGGAAACTGAGACAGTGACCATGGACACGGATGAGGAGAACACAATCGTATCATCGCAGCAGCTAATGAAACTAATACTGCTTATATCCGCACCACCCGAGCACTCGAAGGAAAGAACAGTGCAACACCCCAGTCCATCAGCCAAGCTTCAACAGGTCAATGACAGGAAAGCAACGAACAACGCCCTCCGACGCCAGTTTTAGATAATTCCCCATTATACCCAAGTATGAGAAGTATCATCCAACAGAGGTCAGCAGTACAACAACATTCCTGCATCTTTTCAAAAACCACGACCAGGCCTACCTATTAATATTACTCGGAGCCCACCCAACAGCATTCAATCACGCGCCGGCTTTGGCACCGGCCTGTATGACAGCATTTTTAGCACAGTACGGAAATTCAACATCATTGAATCCTAAGAATGTAGATTCCAATGATATGCCGGTTTACATAGCACACAATAACACTTGAGCATCAAAATGCATATCACGCACCAAACAGCCACTAACACATGCACCACACCACAATCACAAGCATAATCCACCAGCTCAGCCTCAAAACATCAAAAACGAAATGATTGAGGTTTGTACACTACTGGTCGAGCAACAATCTTAGGTAGAAATAATCAATAGTCAAGTAGTAGGTATGTGTCGACAGACCATAATAGGCATGACAACCAACCGGACCACCGCTGGGACCTCAAAAATTCTATAGACACTGGGACAATCACTACCAGAAACACTCCGGGATAAAACAATTCAAGGTAGGTTAACACTGATATGCACGAAGAAGAACGACAATCATTATCTAGTATAGACAACGATATACAATACTCTGAACTGTATTCGATGCAGTAGCCGCTAGTCTAGTTGGCTGCACCTTGTCAGTCATCGATATCCGGACAGCATTAAACTAATTAGAATCCGTGCAGTCGATATCCCACTCTTGAGATTTCAGTTCAAGGGCAAACCCTACTTTGAGCGCGCCCTGCCGTTTGGAATGAAGAGCAGCCCGTAAATTGTTCAAAAAGACTGGGCATAATCGTCGGCCACATCCTCTCCGAAGCCGAGCTCCAACTCTGGCGATATGCGGACGATTTTCACGTTAGATTTTCCTGGGATAGGTGCAACCAAGTTGTTCGCGTTTTTGCTCTATTCTCAAAAACGGTATTACCGTCGCTTTAGAAAAATCATTTGCCAATGTTGTTGAAGCCGAATATTTGGGTGCGATTTTTAATGCTATTTTACGCACACTGTATCTCAGCTACGAAGAGACAGAAAATCTTGGAATGCCTTGCGCTGTGGACATCTGAGGTCCGCAACCGTCCTCGATATTGCATCCCTTGAGGGCAGACTAATATGGCTATGCAGCATTCTACCACATGCTCGCCCATACACCACTTGCCTATTTTGGTTGTTGTGAAACGACCCTTCACCACATAAACACGTCCGCATTACCTCTGAAGTTCGGGAAGATCTGCAATATAGTTGGTCCACATATAATTCAAAATTGTACAAGCACAGTACTGCTCGCACGCCATCGCCTCTTAGTTGCATGTGCAACGGTAAAGGGTAGGGACCGAAGTGTTTACCATTTTTCAGGTTAATAGTTCTTTCTCGAATAGAAAGATCACCATCACCAAAACCAAACAGTTCTCGCACCTATTTTCAATTGCTGCTCTGAAATGTCTCACCGGGATATATGCTGCAGCCACGTTCGGCCAACAATGGCGAGATCACACCGTCCTGATACTCTCAGATACTATAGGC